TGTTGCTATGTTGGGTAAACAAGGCTGGCGCTTTCTGACCAAACCCAGCTCGCTAGTGGCAAGAGTTTTCAAGGCCCGATACTTTCCTAACAACTCGTTTTTGGAGGCCGAATTGGGGAGACAGCCCAGCTACTGTTGGAAAAGTATTCTTTCAGCCCAAGAAATTCTTCGAAGCGGTATTCGACGTCGTATTGGCGATGGACGAGAGACACATCTTTGGGGTACTCCCTGGCTCCTTGAAGAAGTTAATCCTTACCCAAGCATGGCCAGACGCGTGGAGAATGAAGATCCCTTAGTGGCTGATTTTATTGACTTTGATTTAAATTCTTGGAATGTAGCAAAGCTGGAACAATACTTTGACGCTGGTGAAGTGCTGCAAATTCGCAGGGTTCCTATTAATACTAGAAGGTCCGATGGATGGTTCTGGATTAGGGACTTCCGGGGGGCTTATACGGTGAAAAGTGCTTACAGATGTTTGATGGGAGATGCTTCTGTCGTGTCCTCTTTTTCAAACTGGGGAAGATTTTGGCGGATTCCGGTGGCCCCGAAAGTTCTTGTTTGCTTGTGGAGGGCCATTCGAGGTATCTTGCCCACGCGGGATGCTCTCATTTCTAAGAGAGTGGAGGTGGATGGGGGCTGCCCTCTCTGTGGAGGAGCTCTCGAAACAGTTGATCATATTTTTTTGTTTTGTCCTTTTGCAGATTCGGTTTGGAGGCTCATGAGCAAAGGAGGTAATAGAATCTCTTTTATCTCTTTCCAAAACTGGTTCCAAGTTCGGTGTCAGAATGACACTTTATTGGAGCTGCGTACCGTCGCTTTGACTTGCTGGGCAATTTGGAAAGCACGTAACATTGCCATTTGGGATCATAAGACACTGCATCCAGGAGAGCTCAAGAATATGGTGTCGTCCATGGAAGCCCAATGGTCAAACAAGACTATTGCAGAGCGGGAGCGTACTCCACAGCGGCACGAGGTAAGTTTGCGGGCAGAGGCATACAGGTGTTTTTTTGATGCTGCGACATCAGTTTCGGAGGAGTCCATCTCCTTTGGCTGTGTCCTTTTTGATCCAGGAGGTGCCTTTGTGGCAGCGGCAAATGGAGGAAAACTTGGGCCTCTAGATCCTCTTTTGGCAGAAGCTCTCGCTTGCAAGGAAACATTATCTTGGTTGCGGAATCGAGGTATTCGTGACGTTGAAATTCTTTCTGATTGTGAGGTTTTAGTGGGGGCTATCAAGCAAGGAAGGGCCTTTGAGTGCTACTCTTATCTAGGTCCCATCCTTGATGATTGTGTTGAATTATTATCTTCATTTACATCTATTGGCTTTCATTTTATTCGTAGGAATCATAATTGTATTGCTCATACTCTTGCATGGTGTGCTACGCACCATTTTGTCTCATGGAGCAGTACACCACCCAGCTGTATTGCACATCTAATTTCTTCTGAATGAAGTTTTGTTTTTCTGTCAAAAAATTACGTGATTGGACTAAAAAAAAAATCAAACGGATTAGGCTACTCCGTCTCCCCAATCGGATAACCCATCCCCCTTCCCCTTCCGTCCACACATTCGCCTTTCATCCGCCGACCGAGATAAGAGGGACAACCGCCGGGAGAAGGGCAGGCAACCGCCGACGAGGGGAGGGACAACCGACGGGAGAAATCCAACCACCGGCGACCGCAGGACAATTCGGATTAGCCTAATCCGTTTCATGCAGGTATTTTTTATTTTTTAGTAGTGTGTGTGTGTGTGTATATATATATATATTGTTTTATAAAATTACATAAATTATATAGAATTACCAAGTTGGGTGAATTTGTTTATAATAATTGATATATATTATTTAGTTTGTAAGATTTTGAATTTGATTCATTAAATATTAATAAAAATTTGGTATTTCTTTAATTTTGAGATTGTAAGATACTCCGTAATTTTTAACATAATTAGTTACTTCATGAGTTTTTTTATAATTGCCTACTTGTGCATTAAATATTAATAAAAATTTGGTAATTTTTTAATTTTGAGATTCTAAGGTACTCCGTAATTTTTAACATAATTAGTTACTTCATGAGTTTTTTTATAATTGCCTACTTGTGTGCTTGTATTAAATGAATAAATTCTTATGTTGTAATCTTTGAAAGAAATGAGTTGTTATTAAATGAATAAATTGTTATTCTGTAATATTTGAAGCAAATGGATGTTCATCCGGGACCTATTTCACGAGACGTTTTAGTTCTTGAAGGCAGAGTACATAGGTGTGATGCAGTATTGGCGGACGAAGAATATGCCAAAAAGAGTCTAAAGTGTCATAGGACTTGTTCTAGTATATATCCGAGGACTCTTGTTGCTAATAGACCACCTCGTGTCATAGAGATCTTACAGGATTATGGATTTTATGGGGTGGAGAAGGTGGGTGGATTACAGTTAGATTGGGCTCTCATTACTTCTTTAGTAGAGGATGGAGACCCGAGACCCATTCATTCCATCTTCCCTTTGGAGAGGTGGGAATTACACTGCAGGATGTTGAGGTTTTACTTGGATTGCCCGTTGATGGCATTCCATTGTCGGGGGGCACTAGTCGATCAAGAGATCAGTGGATTCAGATTTGTCATGACATGATGGGTTTTAGACCTGAACCATCTGATATTACGTCTTCTACGATTAAGATATCTGCAATTGATCCACAGACGCTGACAGAGCACAGTGTAGAAGTTGATTACCAACAGCATGTTAGAGCTATCATGTTTAAGTTGATGGGTGGTAGCTTATTTCCCAACACGACGGGAAATAAGGTTAGTTTGTATCTATTGGAGGTAATCATGGGCGACTCTGTGCTGGTGCGGGGTCATGCCATAGGTGCTGCGGTTCTTAGTTTCTTGTATCGTAGTATGTGTCGTGCGAGCATGACACATGTATCTCAGATTGGAGGGTGTCTTATCCTCTAACTGCTTTGGGCATGGGAACGTCTGCCTATGACTAGACCTAGGGGCATTGTACCATTGGAGCAGCTGGTTAATGTTCCATATGGAGTCAGGTATTCTCCATTTATTTATGTATATCATGCATTTACTCAATTTATTTTATTGATGTTAATGTTTAATCCTCCATTGGTAGATGGGTGTGTTATCATCGGTGGTCAGATTGTACGACACACTCCTTACGAGCGTACAGGGACCAGCTAGATAGGTTGCTCGAGGGAGAGGTAAGTACTAAACACATTACAATGTTATGCGTACATATAATATTTTAAATGTGTATTGTATTCCTTTTTTATGTATGCAGTTTGTTTGGATGCCGTATCCGAACATCGAGACCCTACCACCCTTTTGTTCAGTCGGACTCCTAATATGGACATCACGCATCCCTTTGATCTATGGCTATGTCGTGGAGATGTACTATCCAGATCGGTTTTGCAGATAGTTTGGTGCCCTCCAACGTGTTCCTGCGGATGTTGTGTATGATCGACACCTACACAACATTAAGTCGATGACTATGGAGCTCGGTGACAATGAGAGACATTATTTAGGTGTATGGGAGGGACGTTACGCTGCAAATGTACGGATGGAATTTGGGATGTCGGATGCCACGCCAGAGTATCGTCAGTGGTATTACCTCCATGGTCGCACACAGATAGGAAACCCTGCTCATCAGCCCGGAACAGGCTACGTCCCCATTTCTCTTGAGCTACAGACCGCAGTATGTATTATTTATATTCAATTTTTTTGTTATAAATTTGTATGAGACTAATCATGTTATTGTATGGCAGATTGCCATCATCGCCTTGATCCAGGTATGCACCCGGATGGTTTTGTACCTTCTCACGAGGTAGTGCGAGTTCATGACTTGTTAGGTGAGTGTATACGTGCTCTTGGACATGCATCCATCCTCGATCATCCACAGCAGCAACCAGTATACAATCCAAGCCATATTCGGAGAAGGGCAGATAGAAGACGAGATGCACCTCGTGTAGGGGTTAGGCGTGGCGGGCGGGGTCAGCGCAGGTTGCAAGTCGAGGGAGAAGAGGTTAATACCCCCGTCGATTCCCCCCGTATGTCCCAGGACGAGGATGCCACTGAAGATGACTATGTTGAGAGCGAAACCCACACGCCCGCTTGCACGGGTGAGCCATCCACTTCATATACTCCACGATTTGAGGTTCCAGATCCTCCACAGCGTATGTACCGTACGTCACCAGTCAGGTTTCATGGAGATTATGTGTTTACTCAAGAAAGTCAACTCACGGATGAGTTTGGGCAATATCTCTCCGGCACGACACCATCGGTTATCCCTCCGACGTTCGGTAACGTTGAAGTGGAGGAGGAACGGGATCGGGATCTGCGACCACGACGCACTCGCCGTGGGACCCGATGTGGTACCGGTAGTCATTATGTTTAGTATTTTCCAGTTGTTTAATATATCTTATTTCGGTTATGTATGTAAACTTTAATTGTAGTATATTATTTACATCTTTTTTATGTATGTTTCCTTTATTTTGTAATTTGGTTTCTTATAAATAATTTAAAAGTAACAAAAGTTTTTAAGAAGCCAAAAATTTAGAATTTTTAAGACTTGACAAAAAAAGTTTCTAAAAGAGGAGTTAAAATAACTAAAAAAATTTAAAAGGAAAAAAAATTAATTGTAACACAAAGAACCAAATCCCTTTATAATAAAAGAAAATTACAAAAAAATAAATAAATAATGAAACGGATTAGGCTAATTCGTTTGGGTATTAAATGAGTGGAAGGGATTAGTTTAATCCGTTTGGTCAAATAATTCGCGTCAAAACGGATTAGCCAAATCGGATCGGTATATTTGGGGAAAATGTGTTTTCACCTTACATATGAAGGAATGAAGTGGGAGTAAATTACACAGGAATTCACCCTGGAAAACAACCAATGAGATGATATCGTTGGGTTTCCTCCAATCATCCTGGAGCTGTCTAGAGAACGAAATTCAACCAAACATAACAAGAAACATCAGACAAATACTTACTCCAGCAAAGATCGGCCAATGACTTCCTTCCAAGTCCGGCTCGTCGCCCCCCTGTTACTGCTAGTCGGGTCCTTTTGTTCGACCCGAATCCGCGTAGCGGGAGATTCGGGCGATCTGAATCTGCTGCAGAGAGGTCAGAGAGAGTTCGATTACTTCAAGCTCGCTCTTCAATGGCCCGGCACCGGTTGCAACAACACCAAGAAGTGTTGTTCCAGCAATGGCTGTTGCCGGTAATTTCCCCCGTTTCGTGTTCTCTAGGGTTCTTCATAGATCGCCTTAGTTTTTGTTTTGTTTTTTTACCTAATTATGGTTTGTTGATTTAGCATTGAGATTTGTCTTGTCTTTTTGAATGGTTTCATTTCTCTCTGTGCAGCTCCGGCGCGATTACTGGATTCACAATTCGTAAGTCTTTCAGATTTGGTTGTTGTTAGTATTATATATTGTGTGAATTGATTCTACCATTTGCCCTTCCACCATTCGCATTTTTGTTCCTGCTCATGCTGCTTGTAACTTCAATATAAAACACAACAACAACAACAACAGTTTCTACAGCACAACCGGTTGTACGGTGTTTCCCGTACATCTACGGCCAGTGCTCATTTACGAGTAACTATATGCTCATTTTCGAGCAAGTGAATACTCATTTTCATGTAACTGAATACTCATTTCTCTAAAATTCAGCTATGCTCAAAAATAATTATTCAGTTACTCGAAAATGAGTATCATGTTACCCAAAAATGAGTACTTAGTTACTCGACAATGAGTATCCATGGGGATGTACAAGAAACACCGTCCACCTGGATGTTTGGCTTTCTTACTTTTCCACCTCTCTCATGCCATGTCACTCTTAAAGTTTAGTGACTCTCGTCGTGTGGTTCATATTGTTTCTTTCATGTTACTCTATTGTTGATTTTTTTCTCTTCTAAAAAAATCTATAGCATACAATTGCCAGTTCTGTAAACAGCCAACGATGTCGAATTTGTAGATAAAATAGGGACGGAGGGAGTAAATAGTCTAAGGGAATAAAGTGGAGTTAACTTTATTATATGAATCACAAAGTTTGTGTAATTCTTGTTGCTACTATGGTTTGAGATCCATTGTTTTGCAGACGGACTGTGGGCAGAGTATAATGATGGGACATGGCCCTCGTGCTGTCAAGGTTCAAAATTTGATTCAAATGAGGTATACATGGGCTAACCTTGATCTCTCTCTCTGGGTATTTTTACTTGGTTTTGACAATGTATTTGTTATTGTATTTTCATACTGTAGATCTCAAGTTTGCTGGATGACTTGAATAAGTATTGGTCATCTTATAGATGTGGTTCTACCACAACTTGCCATGGTAGCAAGGGACCATTTTGGGCTCATGAGGTCTTCTGTCTTTTGAAAAAATTAGCTTGATTACAAATGATCGAGAAGCTCTCGAGTAGATTCAGTTTACCAAGTCAACCATACACTGACAATTAAAACAAGTTACGGTATATACTTAATACCGTAGTATTTGTTTGTCATGAATCCACTGATATCATTAATTGACAAGATAATTGATCTATAACAAAGGATCAGACAATGAGTAGTTTGTGCCTCAGTCTATGGGTGACGTGGTAGTCCGAGTCTACTAAATAATTTATTTGATGATGTGCTTATATTACAAGGAGCTAAGAACTAACTTATTATCCTTGCATTCCGCTTGTGGTTGACTCTGGGAACTTCTGCTCAGTGGGGTAAACAATTTGTTGCTGATGTTCAATTGTTTGTGTTTTCCCCCTAGTTGGTCTTGTACATATGATAGCCTGTGAGAATAGAAATGAGTTACACGTGCTAGGAGTTTGTATTTTATATGTTAACGTACTTCTATTTGAATTTCACAGAGAAACATGGAACGTGTTCATATCCCGTTGTTGAAAATGAATCTGACTTCTTCTCGACTGCCCTGAACATTTACTTCAAATACAATGTTACAGTAAGTCTGCCATCAATGTTTTTTATATTGTGAGATATTTTTTGGTCCGAAACACTGAAACACATAATGTTGGGTGGCTACTTATGTAAATTTCTTGGTGTATAATAACAGGAAGCTTTGTTCAAGGCTGGATATGCACCCTCAAACTCTGAAAAGTACCCACTGGGAGGCATCATTTCTGCCATTCAAAATGCTTTCTATATGACCCCAGAAGTGGTATGCTCTGGCGAGGCACTGAAAGAACTTCGGCTGTGCTTCTATAAGAATTTTGAGGTTTGGCCCTTTTTACACCAAGGAGATCTTTAATCAACTGATTATTCTCTCAACTTATACAAAGTTTGACACACCAGAATTTTTTTCTTTTTTGCTTTTTACTTTGTAGAAATACTGTTTCAGTTAAGAGTCCACTTATTGTTGTTCACTTTTTTGATAATCTAAATTACTTTCACCATGCAACATTATGAAGTTTTTATAAACTGTCCTTATAGCTACTGAATCTGGTAGTCAAAGTGGTGTACATATTGCATTGTACTTGCATAAAGGAAGATGTCATGGTAAAAGGTTTTTCCAATTTTGATCAGGGTCATATATGTCATTTTAGCTAAAAGATTCCGTAATGGATTTAGATCAGGTTCATATGTGTTGTTTTAGCTAAAAGAGTCCGTAATGGATTTAGATCAGGTTCGTATATGGTTCAATTTAAATTAGGTTCATACAGATATCCTAGATTTCCCAAGTGAAATTAGAAGCAATTGTCTCTGTTTCTCTTCTTGCAGCCCCGTGACTGTGCAACAGAGTCTAGAATTGAAAGCGGCATGATCTCTCTGAAAACCTCATCATGCCCTTCTTATGTCAGCTTACCTGTACATGAAGCATCACAATGTGAGTTTTCCTCTTTTTTTAAATTCATTTATCTATTTGTATTCGGATACTAGTACATTTTATGGTGATGGAAAGGGATTAAACCTGAATACAGGTCAACTATACATGTCGCATGTGCGCGTGTTTTCCAAAAAGAGAAAAAGTTATGCCTAAAAACACCCCATGCTAAATATGCAATGGGGACTATTTTTTGGGAAGGAATACTTAAATCAGTTAATTAATCTCGCCTTTTTCATCTGCTTCAAATCGGCGTTGAGGAACATTGCTCAAACAATGTTGTCAAGAGGGGTACTATATTAGGTGTGCATGTGCGGATTACATCTCGGACTATATGTCTATACAGTTGTTAATTTCTTTTTACAATGTGGTTGTGGGCATTTGTCTTATAGCGATTTTGGCTATTTAAGGTATTGCATTATTTGCATCATACTTTGTGAAGGTAACAGACTCATGGATTGGATCAGTTTGAAGCTAAGCTATGCTGTCAGCGTATTAGTGTATCTCTCTATGAGAAGGTATATAGGAAGTTCGGAATTCTACTAATTACTGAATTGTGTCCATTTTTTTTTATAAAAAGTGGTGATTCCGTGCACCCAAGATCCAAGCCTAATTCCTCGACCTTCTCACAAAAGCTGTTGGACTTAGATGCTAATGTGGAAAATGTATTCCGTTCAACAACAACCTAGTTGAATCCCACAAGAGTAGAGTAGGGTCTGGGGAGGGTATGTGTATGCAGACCTTACCCCTACTCGAAAGTAAAGAGGCTGTTTCCAAAGAGATCCTCGGCTCAACGTCAAAAGTTGCATTGATAGACTAACTGCTACTTCATTAATTAAAGAAGCACAGACAGTTTAGAGATCCATTTTACTTTATTCCATCACATCCATGTATTTGATTCAGATTTCAAAAAATCTTTCTAAATCTAATGGTATTGAAAAATTGATAGATTATCTAGGATTCTTATAAAACATGGATTCAATACTAAGGAGTCCACATCAGTAAGGTCCATATAATTGGAATGGACAACCCGAGGACCATGAAAGTATTTGCCTTTAAAACATGTCTTCTGTTTTCATCTGAAAATCAACCACTCATTATTATAAGTCCTAAGGGTATCAAGTTTTCCCCAGGAAGAGAAAGGTTGTTCATAAGAGGGCATTTCTCCATACTAATCCATCCAACTAAGTTTTCTTCATACATATATATACATGCCACAAGTGATGGATTCCATGTGATGGTTTTCTTGGATCATCTTTAGGCATAATGTTTTTGCTTTGAATCTCATGTTTTCTTTGGCTTTCAGGGGTTGAAAACAAAGGAGCTGCCATATTCCGGTCCACATGGTAGATCGCTGATCGGTATGATTAGATTTCCTTTGCCATTACTTGAGTCTTGAGATTCTCTTTCATCTTAGTACATCAAATGATCATTGAAATACACACAGTTTCTGGTAAAGACTGCTGCAGAATTATTTCAACCACTATTTCAAACAAATTCAATAATACCAGTACAATAAAAACATCCAATTTACAAGGCTTGTATGGTGATTATAATATTATTAATGGCATATTTTGGAAAATCCAACTTATTGATATGTGTTATGTGTCTGGTCTTGTGCTTATAGTCAACTTGCCTAAGGACAACGCTTGGCAAATTAAATGGATGAGCTATTGATTAATAAGGTTATCAGTAACTTATAATGGAGAGCTTATAATTTATACGGAGATAAGTTAGGTCATGTTCTTCTCAACTTTTTTTTTACTTATTACTTATTCTTGTTGGAATCCGATTAGATCAGATCAGAAATAACATTAAATATAACTACAATCAAATCAGATCAGATCAGAACTTATTCCAATCAAATCAGGTAAAGAGAAAATAACATTAATTCATTTCATAGTTCATAATTTCATATATTGTTTTGAGAAAATTATCTGATAAACTAGTTTTCATATAAAGATAATACACGTCCTAGCATTTTGTCTCCTTTTTTTCATTAATCCCATACCTGTCCATATTACACGCTCTAGCACCATTGTGCTTTTAATATCACCTCATATTTGGTACTCCCTCCGTCCGGATTTTAAGTTCCCATTCTACGCTTTTCCTCGTCCGGAAATAAAGTTCCCATTATACGTTTTCATACCCATTCTTCCAAAAATACCCTTCCTACTCACTCACAAATCACAATCCTCTTCTCGGCTCTTTATCCCTCACCAGCCACTCTTTTTCTTTCTAATCTATCTTCTCATCCTTCTGTCTCTCTCCCCCCACCCGATCCCTTGTTCTTCTTCTTCTTCTCTCATTCTTCTTCTTCTTCTCTACCAAAATCCCCCTTTTTTTTCTATCCCTCCTCTTCCCCCCA